TAAGTCCTTCCCAATTTCTATACCTCTCTACTGAATACCCCTGCCCAAAACCCTTCTGATAGGGCCACCCTACACATTCACCACAGTGTCTCTGGTGCACAGAGTCCTAAGTTCATTCAATATCTGGTCCTCACCTACATCATCCCGTCTGTCCATCCCAGCTTCCCTTCATTCTCAGGGGAGTCAATGTTAATGGGACTTTCATCATGCCCACATCTATTCCCAACAGATATATTAATGTCACAAAGAAGGACATTAATGATAAAAGGGGCAACTAAACAAGATGACAGAACTATAAACATATGTATCAAAGTCTGAGCTCCTAGACACACAAAACAAATAGGATTGAAGAAAAAAATAGATGGCAACAGTAATATAGGAGACTCACTACCCCATTTTCAATAATGGACAGAACAACCAGACAAAAGATCAATGAAGAATAAAAGACTTAACACTGCAAAACAATCGGACTTAACAGACATTAAATAGAACACTGCACCCAACAACAGCAGAATACATACTCTTTTTAAATGTACATGCAACATTTTCCAGGCCACAAAACAACTCTTAACAAATTTTTAAAATTGATTTTTAGGGACAGGAAGAGAGAGGGACAGAAACATTATCAATCCTCTGCAACCTTCTCACCCGCCCTGCTGAGGATCGAGCCTGCAACCTGGGCATATGCCCTGACCAGGAATTGAACCTTTTCGTTTATGGGTGGACGCTTAACCACTGAGTCACACCAACCGTGCAAGTCTTTATTAAAGTATATTTTCTGGTCACAATGAAAAGAAACTAGGAATCAACAGGATGAAAACTAAAAATATCCATAAATATGTGGAAATTAACACTTTAAGAAACCAATGGGTTAGAGAACAAATCACAAGGGAAATGAGAAAATACGTTGAGACAAATTAAAACATAACGTTTCAAAACTTATGGGATGCAATGAAACAGTGTCAAGAGGGAAACTTATAGCTATAAATGCTTATGAGAAAAGTCCCCAAATCAAAAACTTACAAGAACTAAGAAATGAAAAACAAAGCTAGCAGAAAGAAGGAAACAATGATCAGAGAGAATAAAATGAAACCAAGATTTGTTTTTTAAAAAGATCAATAAAGTTGGCAAATCTTTGGGTGGATCGATAGAAAAAAAATAGAAGACCCAAATAACTACAATCAGAAACAATTCAGGGGACATTACTATCAATTTTAGAGAAGGAAGACTACTATGAATGATTGTACACCAACAAATTGGATAACCTCCATGAAATGAACACATTCCTAGAAACAAAACCTACCAAGACTGAATTATGAAGAAATAGAAAGTCTGAATAGACCTATTCAGTAATAGTAACAGGACCGAATCAGTAATCAAAAACCTCTCAAAACAAGTCTATCTCAACTTTTAAAAATCATTATTGTTGCAAGTATTACAGATGTCCCCCGTTTTCCCCCATTGACTCCTTATAGCCTGCACCCCCCCTGCCCTAGGCCTTCACCACACTATTGTCTGTGTCCATGGGTTATGCATATCTCTCTATAAAAGCCTAATATGCAAAGTCCCTGTGGGAGTTTGACTGGGAGACCAATCACTTGCTATGATATGCGCTGAGCACCAGGGGGCGCAGAACAAAGGGAAGCCCCAGCCGGCAGTTGGGGAAGAGAGGCCTGACCCTGACCGGCAGCCAGAAGGCCCCCGATCAGTCCTAATTGCCGGGCAGGCCTAGGGACCCTACCCACGCACGAATTTCATGCACTGGGCCTCTAGTATGCATAAAAATTCTTTGGTTTGCCAAAGCCGGTTTGGCTCAGTGGATGGATGTTTCTCTACCATCGATGTTTCTAGCTCTCTATCTCTCTCTCCCTTCCTCTCTATATCAATAAAATATATTTTTTAAAAAAATTCTTTGGTTAATCTCTTCCCGATCGCCCACCACCCCCTTCTCTTTGAGATTCGATAGTCTGTTCCATGCTGCTATGTCTCTGGATCTATTTTAGGTAATCAGATTATATTGCTCATTATATTCCACAAATGAGTGAGATCATGTGATATTTATCTTTCTCCGACCGGCCCCTGGACCAGAAAGCTTCACTGGTGAGTTCTACCAACTATTTTTAAAGAAAGCCAACACCAATTCTTCTCAAACTCTCCCAACGAAATTTAAGAAAAGGGAACACTTCCTAATACACTCAATGAGATTAGCATTACCATGACATCAAAGCCAGACAAAGACTATTAGAAAACTATAGGTCAGAATACTTGATGAACAATGGTGCAAAAATCCTTAGCAAAATACCATCAAATCAATTCAATAACACATTGAAAAATATATACACAACCAAGTGGGGTTTACTCCTGGAATGTAAAGATGGTTCCACACGAAAATCAATGTAATAAACCATATAAGTAAAATGAGGGACAAAACCATAGGACCATCACAAATTTATGCCAAAAAAAAGCAGTTGACAAAATTCAGCATCCTTTCATGATACACTCAACAAGAAACTATCTCATGATAATAAAAGCCCACAGCTATTATCATACGCAATGGTGAAAGACCAGATTTTTCCTCTAAGATTAGAAACAAGAATGTCCACTTTCACTCCTATTCAACACAATATTGGTATTCTAACCAGATGATTAGAGCAAGAAAAAATAAAGAAACAAGATAACCAAATTAGAAAGGAAGAAATAAAGTTATCTATTTTCAGAGACATGATCTTATATGTAGAAAACCTTAAAGAATCAAGCAAGAAAAAGAGAACCATTAGAATTAGTAAATGAATTCAACAACATTGTAGGATACAAAATCAACACACAAAAATCAGCTGCATTTCTACACACTAACAATGAGAAACCTGAAAAGGAAATTAAGAAAATTCCATTTACACTAGAATCAAAAGAATAAATACTCAGAAACAAACTTAACTATAAAAGCCAAAGACTTGTACACTGAAAATTACAAAATGTTGCTAAAAGAAATGAAAGATGCCAATGAAGTGGAAAGACCCTGATTTCATATATTGAAAGACTTAAAATGATTAAGAAGGAAAAAGAAAAAAAACAGTTGGAGTTCTTAAACTTCCTGATTTCAAAACTTACTACATGCCCTGGCCAGGTAGCTCAATTGGTTGGAGGGTTATCCCCATACACTAAAGGTTGCAGGTACTATCCTGGGTTAGGGCACATACAAGAAGGACCAATGAATGCATAAATAAGTGGAACAACAAATCAATATTTCTCTCTCTCTCTCTGAAATCAATAATGCAATTAAAAAACAAAACAAAACAGCATCAAGGTAGCCATATAGAACAATGGAATAAGACAGCTCTTATGTCCAATGATTTTTAACAAGGGTTTCAAATCCCTTCAATGGGGGAAAGAACAGTTTTTTGTTTTTTGGTTAATCCTCACCAGATGATATTTTTTACATATATATATATATATTTTTTTTAGAGAGAATGGAAGGGAGGGAGGAAGGGTAGGAAGAGAGAGAATGACAGTGAGAGACAGTGAAGCATCGATATCAGAGAGAGAAACATTGATGTGAGAAAGACACATTGATTGGTTGCCTCCCGCACTCTGGGATCGAACATGCAACCCAGGTACCTGCCCTTGACTGGGAATTAAACACATAACCCTTTGGTGCGTGGGCTGATGCTCTAACCTCTGAACAACACTGGCCAGGGTAGGGAAGGGCAGTTTTTTCAACAGATGGTGCTGGTAAAACTAGATATCTACATGCATGTGAATGAAGTTGGATCCTTACCTTACACCATCTACAAAAACTACCTCAAAATGGATCAAAGACCTAAATATAAGACCTAAAACTATACAATTCTTAGAAGAAAACACAATGGAAAAGCTTTGTGACATTGGATCTGGCAATGATTTGGATATGACACCACAGGCAACAACAATAAAAATAGATAAACTGGACTTTACCAAAATTAAAAACTTGTGCATTAAATGACACTATCCACAGAGTAAAAAGGCAGCAACCTACAGAATGGGAGAAAATATTGCAAATCTCATTTGACATGAGATTAATATCCAGAATATAGAGAGAACTTCCTACATTGCCCAACTGAATTAAAACATGGGCACATGACTTGAACTGGCATTTCTCTAAAGACATACATATGGACAATAAGCACATGAAAAAATGCTCAACAATAATCTTTATGCAAATTCTTTGGTTAATCTCTCTTTTGGTTAAAACCACAATGAGATACCATTTCACATCCATTAGGATTACTATTATTTACAAGCCGGAAAATAAAAAGTATTGGCAAAGATGTGGAGAAACTGAAACCCTGTGAACTGCTGGTGGGAATGCAAAGTGGTCTAGCCACTATGGAAAAGAGTTTACTGGTTCCTCAAAAAATTAAAAATGTAATTACCATGATCTGGCAATTCCACTTTTGATATTAAAAGCAGGGACATGATGGAGTCAAGATGGTGGAGTAGATAAATCCTGAACTCCCATGAACAAATCAAAATTATTGTTAAATTATAAAACCATCAGACTGAGAACCACCTGAGGATTAGCTGAACAGAATTCCTGTAACTAAGGATATAAAGCAGCAGCCACATCAAGATGGAGAGGAGGGGCAGAGACATGGTGCAGGCAGGTCCCACACCCACAGCGTGGTAATGAATAAATGGAGGAACATCTCAGGTTGCCCCTGAGATGAGAGAAGGATCCAAGCCCCACATAGAGCTCCCCAGCCTGGGTCAACTATGATGGTAAGAGGAGTCCCCTAACATCTGGCTTCAAACACCAGCAGGGATTACATCTG